CCGGAGGAGACCGCGGCGGCGCGCGGAGCGCGCTGCCGCGGCGGGTGAGCGCGGAGCGCCCACGCCGTGCTGGAGCGCGGCCAGCGCTCGGCGCCAGAATCGCAGCGGTTGATTTTTCAGCTGCGAAGTTTTGGGGGGCCCTCTCGCCCAGGGAAAGCCTGGAATAGGGGTGGCTTCATCATCGACGGCTGTGCTCTCGTGCTCATGGCACAGTTGAACGGCAAGCAAAATCCAAGCAACATCCTCCTCCTCCTCCTCCTCCTCCTCCTCCTCCTCCTCCTCCTCCTCCTCCTCCGCCATCCAGAATTCATTTACATAGGCATTCGATTTTTCCATTCCCTGTCCCCCTCTCTCCAAATGGAGTTCAGACGAATCTTCCCAGGAACACTGAGACTTTTGAGTGTGCCCTGCAGGACGAATCCGATAATTTACTTTTTAATCCCCCCTCTCAAGGAAGTCAGCTCTCAGGACCTACATCGTCAAGGCCAGCATCGCGACCACCTTCGACGACAATGCCGGCGCGCAGCACAGGCGGTGGCAGAAAGGGCTTTGCACATGCAGACGGCGACGTGCCTTTGAGCATTTTCACAACACAGCACACTCCACTGCCGAATAGCACTGACCGCCACAACCAGCAGCAGCACCGTCGACCAGCAGCGACCGACTACCACGAGCAACCACACACAGCAAACCTCGACCGCAACCAACCAGCACAACCAACAACACTGACCACCGACCAACAATACCAGCAACACTTAACCAAACCACCACCACCGACCAGCACCGACCACCAGCGCCATCCACTGCCGAATAGCACTGACCCCCACAACCAGCAGCAGCACCATCGACCAGCAGCGACCGACTACCACGAGCAACCACACACAGCAAACCTCGACCTCAGCCAACCAGCACAACCAACAACACTGACCACCGACCAACAATACCAGCAACACTTGACCAAACCACCACCACCGACCAGCACCGACCACCAGCGCCAGCAGTGGCACCGACTAACACCAGCAAGTTCACACCATCCAGCTCTGACCAACAACGACGAGCAAACAACAACGCAACCGACTCCAGACCAGCACCACCAGCAACACACACCCAATCAACCGCAGACCACACTCACCCAACAACAAGACAGCCGACTAGCAGCGACAAGCCAACACCAAACAATCCAGACCAGCGCCGACCACGACCAACCAGCAGCACCAACGAAAATGACACCGACCACTGACGAGCACCAACAGCACATATTCATAACGATTATTCACAAAAATGCCCGGGCACTTACGACAGACGACCGGGTCAGCGAACTCATCGCAGAGCTCGACAACTGCCATTGGGATTTTGTGCTCATCAACGAGACAGAGGACGACTACGACGGAACTATGGACAACCGTGGAAGGGCATACGTTTGCTGGATCTGGCAATGACCAGGCGTGCCACGGAGTTGCTATTCTTATACACAAGCGTTGGGGAAAGAGCATACAGAGATTTGAAGCCCACTCGCCAAGACTCGCCACGATGCTGTTGAAAAGAGGGCGGTTGAAATTACAATTGGTGGCCGCATATTTTCCACACTCTGGGTACAGCGACCCGCACATTCAGCGCATGTACGACGCGATCCACGAGATTCACAGAGAAAACACCAAAGCACGACGTCATATTATACTCGCTGGCGACTTCAACGCGCAGGTTGGGGAATCCCGTATATCAGTAGATGGCGACGACGACGACCTCATCACTTCCAGGTGTGTCGGCCGCCACGGATATGGAATCGAAAACTCGAGGGGTACATGGTTGCGACACTGGGCTGCCCAAGAAGGGCTTGTGCTTGCCAATACGTTTTTCCGAAAGCCTATACATAAGCAGATCACTTACATCAGCGGCGACAAGCAGAAACAGCTCGACTACATCTTGCTCAACCGCAAGCTCTTCAAGCATTGCACTAATGCCGAGGCCAACAACGTGACCGACCTGGGATCCGACCACAAGGCTGTCGTCACTGAGTTGAAGATACCAGAAGCAATGGTAACAAAACGACAGCGACGAGACGACGACCAACGGCAGCGCAGACATGCACCACCCAACGCTTCCACCGGCAAGATCATCAATGTGAACGTCTACCACGACCACCAAAGACGACGACTGAAACCAGACGAACTACCAATCGACCCACAATCCCTGGACGAGCACACCCAGCAAGTTCTCATCGACGCCGCCGCCGTGAGCAGCGCTGGAGCACCACGACCAGACCGACAACCAGACAGAGGAGCAGAACGTCTACGCCCTCTCATCGCACAGCGACACCAGACACCAAACAACGACCACCGCACCCGCAAACAACTGAGCAAACTGATACAGCAGGAGATCCGCGCGCAGAAGCGGCGGACACGACGGGCCCACATAGGAAGCGTGCTCGAACAGTTCAGAGACCTCAAAAGTATCCCGCGCATCAAGACACGCAGAAAGCGGAATCTCATCACTCACATGACAGACAAAGGAGGCTCAAAACGCACGGCCCGGCAAGAAATTGCAGACATATTCGCGGAGTTTTACGAGCAGCTATACGACACAACGGCCAAGCCGACGCAACGAGAGCGACGCAGCGACGACCTTCCACCCTTCACTGGCGAAGAGTTGGAAAAGGCGATTAGAGGGCTCCGGCTTGGTAAGGCTCCAGACACCAAAGGCCTACGAGCAGAAATGTTGAAGGACGGCACGGAAGAATTGCACGGCGCACTTCTCCACCTCTACAACGCGATCATCCAGTCCGACGCTCCGCCGCCGACCAGCTGGAAGAGCACTGTCGTCACGGTCATTCCCAAGAGTGGGGATCTAACGCTTCCGCAAAACTATCGGCCCATATGCACAATACCATTGCTTTACAAGCTTTTCAGCAGACTTCTCTACAACCGACTCCAACCAACACTTGACTCCCGACAAACTGCAGACCAGGCCGGCTTCAGGCCAGGACACTCAACCACCGACCACTTATTCGCTTTCCATATTCTCCGTGAGCGCGCGCACGAATGGAACCAGAACTTGTGGGTAGCGGCGCTAGACTTCAAAAAAGCTTTTGACACCGTCGAGCACAATAGCATGTGGGCAGCGCTGGAGGCGCAGGGCGTCCAACGAGGATACATCTCACTACTCCAACAGCTGTACGAGGGGCAGACGGCCACGGTCAGGACTGACGTCAGCAGCAAGTCCTTCAGTCTCCTCCGGGGAACGAAGCAGGGCGACCCGCTCAGTTCCTTGCTTTTCAACGCTTTGCTACAGCACAGTCTTGCACCACTAATCACCGACTGGCAAAAGAAGGGCAAGGGAGTGCAGCTAGGATTCACCACCACCTCCACGCTCACTAACCTCCGCTTCGCCGACGACGTGCTCCTTACTAGCCAAACTCTACCGCGCCTCACCGCGATGCTCGACGACATCGTGCGCGCAGTGCGACCTCACGGACTTGAGTTGCACCCTTCCAAAACCAAAATACTCAGCAACCAGACCAGACGGACTGGCAGGGCAAGCTCGCGCACAGTACACATTCAGGGCATGGACATCGACATCCTTCCCCACGATGGCAGCATCAAGTACTTAGGTCAGCTCATCAGCTTTCACGACGCGATGGAGACTGAAATCCACCACCGTACGAGGGCAGCATGGGCAACGTTCACTTCGCACAAACAGGAGCTGACAAGCAAACACTACCCACTGGCACACCGACTTCGACTTTTCAGCCGGACCGTAACACCCGCAGCACTCTACGGAGCAGAGACATGGACGCTCACGGAACCTCTTCGGCAACACCTGCGGCGAACACAACGACGCATGCTCCGCATGATCATCAGGACACCAAGGCGACGCGCTACCCGCCAAACGACCCCGACGAGTAGCACCCAAGAACACGCGGACGACCGCACGACCACTCAAGCACCTGACCAAGAAACCAGCAGCAGCGACGACGCAGAGAGCAACGCGCCCCAACAAGACACGACCGACCGACACAGCGAGAGCAACGACAACAACAATGACGAGGACGCGATGGAGCCGTGGGTCGACTACATCCAGCGAGCCACGCGGCGCGCAGAACAGCTCATGCAACACCACCACATCGAAAACTGGGAGACGATTCACAGACAGAGGTCGTGGCGCATGGCATCCAAGGTAGCCAAACACGAGCCCACCAGATGGACGTGGCGTGCACTGCACTGGCAACCAGGAGAGAACTCACGGCAACGTGGCCGGAGACACCACGGCGGCCAGCGCAAGCGCTGGGACGACGACCTCATCAGCTTCCTTCAAGAACACCGACCCGACCTACACCCAGCGCCCACGCCAACCAACGAGCAGGGCAAGCCGAACGACCTCACTTGGGTTCGCTCAGCTCAAGACACCACCACGTGGTCGACACTCGAACACAAATACATCAGCACGTCGCCGACATTCACAACCAGGACTTCCTCCTCCTCTCCTCCTCCGTCATAACTTTTTGTGTGTTGCACCGAATCATGTATTGTGTGTCTCGCAGTTCCTGTGCATGTCTCTATGTTTACAGGAGGCCATGGCCTCACCCACCTGGTCTGAGCAGGCCCGGACAGCTGTCCGATGTGGTGGTTCGTTCGTTCGTCCTCCTCCTCCTCCTCCTCCTCCTCCTCCTCCTCCTCCTCCTCCTCCTCGCACCCCACCCCTCAGCCCTCACCCTTCACTCCTCCTCGTCCTCCTCCTTCCCCCCCCATCCTCCTTCGCTCCTTGCCTTGCGAGGAGGAGGAGGAGGGGGGGGAGAGGAGGGGGCGGAGTTGAGGAAGGGTGGGGTGGAGGAGGAGCGGGATGGATGAGTGAAGCGGAGGCGGAGAACCGGAAGGGAGGAGACGTCCACCTCCTCCTCCTCCTCCTCCTCCTCCCGCCCCTCCCCCCCTTGCCTTCTCCCCCCCCCCTCCTCCTCCATTCCCTCCCCCCCATCCTCCTAGTCCTCGCCCCTCCCTCCCCTCGGCCTCGTCAGCTTTGTCCGCCTGGTGCTCGCTAGTAGAGGGCTTTCTGATCTCGTATCCGGGCTCTTCAGCAACTTGTTCAGCAGACTTGAAGTAGGCTTTCGGCCGGCTCGCATCCCCCGAACTTTCGGCGTCCAGGACCTTGAACCCGAGCTCTTCAGCCACCTCGGCGGCCGACTTGAAGAAGGCCTTGGGCCGGGCAGAATCGGAGTCATCCACCTGGTATCCGGACTCGAGCGCCTGCGACGACTGGAGGGGGGGAAGAGGAGAGGGGGAAGGAAAGGGGGGAGGAGAGGGGGGGAGGGAGAGGAGGGGGAGGCTTTGTGAGAAAGTAATTTCGCTGCAATCTAAATACAATTATCTAGTCCAACCAAATCAATTTCCAATCCAGGAGTGAAGGGTGGTGAGGGCTGAGGGGTGGGAGACGAGAAGGAGGAGGAGGAGGAGGAGGAGGAGGAGGAGGAGAAGAAGGAGGAGGAGGAGGAGGGGGGGGAGAAAGAGGAGGAGAGGTGGAGTAAGTATTGAAATGTTTTTTTTTTTTTTTTTTTTTTTTTTTTTTTTTTTTTTTTTTTTTTTTTTTTTTCTGCTGTTTTTCATGTTTTGTTTTGTTTTTTTTTTCTTTTCAATCCTCGGTCTTTGGTTTCTTTGGTTTTTCTGCGGTGTCTCATTGTGTTTTTTTTGGGGGGGGTCCAATAGAATCCCTGTGTGACGCTTTCCAAAGGATTCCTTTTGTGCGGCTTTCCAATAGAATCCCTTTGTGGTGCTTTCCAAAGGATTCCTTTCGTGAGACTTTCCAATAGAATCCCTTTGTCGTGCTTTTCAAAGGATTCCTTGTGTGAGGCTTTCCAATAGAATCCCTTAGTGGTGCTTTCCACAAGATTTCTTGTGTGAGGCTTTCCAATACAATTCCTTTGTAATGCTTTCCAAAGGATTCCTTGTGTGAGGCTTTCCAATAGAAACCCTTCGTGGTGCTTTCCAAAGGATTCCTTGTGTGAGGCTTTCCAATCGAATCCCTTCGTGGTGTTTCAAAGGATTCCTGCTTTGAGGCTTTCCAATAGAATCCCTTCGTTGTGCTTTCCAAAGATTCCTTTTGTAAGGCTTTCGAATAGAAACCCTTCGTGGTGCTTTCCAAAGGATTCCTTGTGTGAGGCTTTCCAATCGAATCCCTTTGTGGTGCTTCAAAGGATTCCTGCTTTGAGGATTTCCAATAGAATCCCTTCGTTATGTTTTCCAGAGATTCCTTTTGTGAGGCTTTGCAATAGAATCCCTTTGTGGGGCTTTCCAAAGGATTCCTTGCGTGAGGCTTCCCAATACAATTCCTTTGTGGTGCTTTCCAAAGGATTTCTTTTGTGAGGCCTTCCAATAGAAACCCTTCGTGGTGCTTTCCAAAGGATTCCTTTTGTGAGGCTTTCCAATAGAATTCCTTTGTGATGCTTTCCAAAAGATTCCTTTTGTGAGGCTTTCCAATAGAATCCCTTTGTGGCGCTTTCCAAAAGATTCCTTTCGTGAGGTTTCCCAATAGAATCTCTCTGTGGTGCTTTCCAACGGATTCCTTTTGTAGGGCTTTCCAATAGAATCCCTGTGTCGTGCTTTCCCAAGGATTCCTTGCGTGAGGCTTTCCAATAGAATCCCTCTCTGGTGCTTTTCAAAGGATTCCTGCTTTGAGGCTTTTCAATCAAATCCGTTCGTTTGTGCTTTCCAAAGGATTCCGATTGTGAGGCTTTCCAGCAGAATCCCTTTGTGGCGCTTTCCAGAGGATTCCTTTTGTGAGGCTTTCCACTAGAATCCCTTTGTGACGGCAGATGGTATGATGACAGGGGGGGGGGCGAGCATATATAATATATATAATATATATATATATTATATATAATATATATATACTAGAACCACGCGCGCGCTTCGCGCGCGCTTAGGTTCTGTCGAGTCACAGACCCAGGAATCGTTGCGAGAAGAAATTGGTGACGCGAAGCGTCTTGGGGGCGTCCTTGGACGTCTGGGGTCTCCTGGGGCCTCTTGAGGGGCCTCCTGGGGGCCTCCTGGCGGCCTCTTGGGGCGGAAGGCTCGAGCTTGCGGTTCGTGGTCCCCCTCTGGGCCCCCTCTTGGGCCCGTCTTGGGGCCCTCTTGGGCCATCTTGGGCGCCTCTTGGGCCGTCTTGGGGCCCTCTTGGGCTGTCCTGGGGCCCTCTTGGAAGCTTCTTGGGCCGTCTTGGGGCGGTCTTGGGCGCCTCTTGGGCCGTCCTGTAACGTCGGAAAGCCCAAAAGACAACTTTGTTGAAAATGTACGTTTTACGAAGGGAATGGGCCAATTTTTGCGTCTAGGGGCCCTCTTGGGACGCATGTTGGAGGCTTCTTGGGGCCTCTTGGGGGCGTCCTTGGACGTCTGGGGTCTCCTGGGGCCTCTTGAGGGGCCTCCTGGGGGCCTCCTGGCGGCCTCTTGGGGCGGAAGGCTCGAGCTTGCGGTTCGTGGTCCCCCTCTGGGCCCCCTCTTGGGCCCGTCTTGGGGCCCTCTTGGGCCATCTTGGGCGCCTCTTGGGCCGTCTTGGGGCCCTCTTGGGCTGTCCTGGGGCCCTCTGGGAAACTTCTTGGGCCGTCTTGGGGCGGTCTTGGGCGCCTCTTGGGCCGTCCTGTAACGTCGGAAAGCCCAAAAGGCGACTTTGTTGAAAATGTACGTTTTACGAAGGGAATGGGCAAATTCTTGCGTCTAGGGGCCCTCTTGGGACGCATGTTGGAGGCTTCTTGGGGCCTCTTGGGGGCGTCCTTGGACGTCTGGGGTCTCCTGGGGCCTCTTGAGGGGCCTCCTGGGGGCCTCCTGGCGGCCTCTTGGGGCGGAAGGCTCGAGCTTGCGGTTCGTGGTCCCCCTCTGGGCCCCCTCTTGGGCCCGTCTTGGGGCCCTCTTGGGCCATCTTGGGCGCCTCTTGGGCCGTCTTGGGGCCCTCTTGGGCTGTCCTGGGGCCCTCTTGGAAGCTTCTTGGGCCGTCTTGGGGCGGTCTTGGGCGCCTCTTGGGCCGTCCTGTAACGTCGGAAAGCCCAAAAGACAACTTTGTTGAAAATGTACGTTTTACGAAGGGAATGGGCAAATTTTTGCGTCTAGGGGCCCTCTTGGGACGCATGTTGGAGGCTTCTTGGGGCCTCTTGGGGGCGTCCTTGGACGTCTGGAGGCCATCTTCAGCATCTCGGAGCCCTCTTGGAGGCCTCTTGGAAGTTTCTTGGCCGTCTTGGGCGCTTCTGGGGCCGTCTTGTCTGACCGGGGAGGCCTCCGGCAAGCCCCGACGAGCCTCCGGGCCCCCCGGGGTGCACATTTGTGGTCGAGGTCCCGGCCCCGGGCCCCCCCCGGTGCGCCGATATATGTATATGTATATAAATATATTATATATATGTATATATAATATATATATATATATATATATGTATATATATATATATGTACATATTATATACATATATATATATATATATAGATATAGATATATATATTCGCCCGCTTTGGCTGTGGGCCTGCCCCCCTGGTGGCGCCGCCTCCCGTTTCGACCTGCAGAGCTCCGTCGAGGTCGAGTACCAAGTCCACCAACCGCCGGTGGTGTTACGGGCGCTGGTGGGCACAACATGTACATCTACACCCGCGCCTGTCGGGATCCCTGCAGGCTTTCAAAGTCATCTCTCAGGAGCGCCTTGTGTGGTCGACCTTCATGGAGAACGCGGTAATCATGCACGCCCAGGTCTTGGGCCTTCGTTTTGTTGAATATGCCGATCGCCGTGGTTGCTGCCTGGAGGTGAGTGACACTGACGATCACCGAGTGGTCAAGGTCCTGCAGGGTGTTGTGGACAGCCAAAGGAGGTGTTGGACCCACCGACCTGATCACCCACGCCACGAGGAGAAGGTTGAGCACTTGCTGCGCTGCGCGGCGCGGATTCGGTGCTTGGCCGAAGCGGATGCGGAGCCGAACATCGTGTACAAGCGTTTCTGAAGGGGCCCTGGGACACACAAAGAAATACACACAAATAAAAGGATTCCCCATATTTTCCCATATTTTCTAGGTTTCTGTCTTCCCCCCCACTTCCCATATTTTCCCATATTTTCGGGGGAATCGACGATTAATTGTGTCTGTGTGTTTCTTTCCCTCCTGAGTTTCTACAAGCGTCTTGGGGAGGACGAACGCAGGCTGGTGCGGATCTGTCGTGCCGGAGCCGTGTCCCCCGAGAGGCGCCGCTGCTCGGGGAAGGTGTGCCGCCGGTGCGGGGCGGCGTTTCCCTCGTTTCGCCACTACTGGGCCGATTGCCCAGCCTACAGTCAGGGCCTTGACCTAAGGAACCCCAAATAAGAAACGAGGCCCCTTTTCCGTAAGTTAAACTTCGATTTCCGATTTTCATAAGGAAAGCCTGAGGCAAGCTGCGAAACACTTAAGGAACGCGGAGCCCCTCCCCAACGAAAAGGGTTCCTTCTTCAGGGCCCCGACTGTATACTGCGCCGAGGGTTCTTAGCTCTGCTGCTCCGACTTGCAGAGCCCAACTAAGCGAGCGACCGAGCTGACTGCCGCCGTCGAGATGGCGATCGTTGTCCTGGGCACCGACATTGCTGAAAGGCTACATCCACTAGACCACGAACCTTCTCAAGTGGTTCGTGATGCTGGGGGTTGATTTCAGTTTCACGGTGAAGCTACTCCAGAGTTCGGGTACGTCACGACCACCGTATTCTTCTTTCCTCGTACCATGAACATAGGCAGCATCATCGTTATCGCCATGCCCGCCGCCATCATCACTACCATCGCCAGCATCATCATTACCATCGCTTGCATCATCAGCATCAGTATCGTCATCATCTTGGGCATCAGCATGATCATCACCAGGATCATCATCCACATCATCATCAGAATCGCCGCTATCCTCCTCACATCCATCACCATCGCAATCGTCATGAGCATCGTCATCACAATCACCACCTTAGTCACAACCACCATCATCCTCATCAGCATCAGCATCAGCACCATTACCATTACCATCAGCATCAGCATCGACGTCATCAGTAGAATCATCAGCATCATCATCAGCATCAGCATCGCCAGCATCAGCATAATCAACAGCATCAGCATCACCATCAGCATCAGCATTGACACCATCATGAACAGCATCACCTGCGTGTCCATAATCATCACCAGCATAAGCGCCAGCGCCACCATAACCAGCTTGATCACCATCATCTGCATCAGAGTCGCCATCGTCATCATCATAACGCTAGTCGCCGTC